GATCGCCAAGTCTTGGGCTTGAGCTTCCCCTCGAAAACAGAACGCCAACACCGTCCAATATCCTTGTGCGTCACCCCTCCCAGGCGTGGGTGATGCTGTGCCGCCCATACCTCCTTCCCCCAGCGAATACTGGGAGCCACAGCGCCATAGTAAGTGGGACCATCTTCACAAGTAAGGGCGGAGGAGAGACTGCGGCCACCGCCAGACGGCCGCAAGCACTTGCCTGCTCGGCGGCGAATGTGGCCCAGCTCAACATCGCTAACACCGTGGATCTCGCAGCCGAAATTGATGCATGCGAGCGCGCCGCCAGTGACAACCTTCTTCGCTGAACGCCCTAAAACTTGTCTTTGTTTGCGAATCCTGCTAACACGCTGATCAAACGTCGCGCGCCTCTGCTTAGCCTTCTCACAACGACCCCTGACCCTCCTTGGCCGCCCTGCGGTGTCATCGGTCCCCAGGTTGATCGCCGAGGTGGTTGTCCCAGGACCAGCCCAAACCCCCAAGAATGTTTGGAGCTTGGCCCCCAGGCGGCGCTGACTGCAAATCTGGCTCGCCTTATCTGGGGCGATCTTGCACTTGATGTCCGCTTCAACTGCCTTAAACAGTTCGACGGCACCGTGGGCGATGGCATCATGCACCTCCTGGAAACGCCCTCGGGCCGAGACACCCAGGTCGTCGATGTACAGATCGAGGCTGGATCCTGGCTTCAGCTGGACAGAGACAGACGCCTGCATCGACCAGATTCTGCCGAATTTGGTAGCAATATTACACCCAGCAATTACCCCACGAATGGCCAAAAAGGGCCCCTGGAGGAAACCGCTGAGTTTGACGTACCCCGGGGTCCTATGCGCTGAAATACACAAGCGACACACCACCGTCGGGAAACCGAGCACTTCGCATCTGGCCTCAAGATCTTTCAAATCCATCGTTTCGTAAAACTTGCACATGTCCCAGAGAAGCGACGCCGAGCACAACCCTTGTCTTATAGCGGCCTCACTCCTGGCGGCCTGCCTCCAGACAGCGTCGGAAACTGACTTGAAACCGTAGGCAGCGAACATGTCATGCTTGTGATCCTCCTCCCATGACATAGCCCCCTGCCTCCTGCACCCCCCCCCCGCAGCCTGCGCGGTGACGCGAAGATCCCGACGGGTCTGTGACCTCCCGAGGTGTTGGGCAACATGGCGGGCATCACAAGGCGGAGCTGCTCTGGGAGAGTGGCCATCGTCTCCATGATGGCGAAAAGAAGCGAGGCCACTGTCAACGCTTGGTCACACAGCAAAGCGTAGTGCCGAAAGTGAAACCCGTCGACCGATACTGCTGACCTCCTGCCATAACCTCTGCTCCTTTCCCGCGGGGCCTCAGGTTACACCAAAGGCAGATGCTGTGCAGGACGGAAGGGCTTCGGTTCCAGGTAACCAAACAGTTCGGAGTCAGCAGTCCAGAGTGCTTGAAAGCGTTTACCCTCAGCTCGCAGGAGCGACTGGGGGTCAGATGCTACCTGGCCCGCGGCGCTGAGGGTCGAGGAGGGATGCCAGGCTTCTACAGGACGGGTCCAAGAGTGGGCGTTACGTTCTTCAAAACCGAGCGCATGGAACTAACCCCACTTTTGGAACGCCGCCACTGAGGCCTTCGGTGGAGCCCACGAGACGCGTCAGGGAGTGCCGAAATGGGGGTGACGGCTCCATGTGGGGCCACGAAACGCTGTCCTGGGCGGGGGAGACACATGCGGACTGCGCCACTGGGGCCTTCGGTGGAACTCCCTAGGGGGCCACGGAACGCTGTCCTGGGCGGGGGGGACGCATGCGAACTGCGCCAATGGGGCCTTCGGTGGGGCTTCCCATGGGGCCACGAAGCGCTGTTCTGGGCGGGGGAGATGCATGCGAACTGCGCCACTGGGGCCTTCGGTGGAGCTCCCTGTGAGGCCACGCAACGCTGTCCTTGGCGGGGGAAACGCATGCGAACTGCGCCCCTGGGCCTTCGGTGGGGGTCCCTATGGGGCCACGCAGCGCTGTCCTGGGCGGGGGAGACGCATGCGAACTGCGCCACTGGGACTTCGGTGGCGTTCCCTCTGGGGCCACGAAACGCTGTCCTGGATGGGGGAGACGCATGCGAACTGTGCCACTGGGACCTTAGGTGGAGCTCCCTATGGGGCCACGGAGCGCTGTCCTGGGCGGGGGAGACGCATGCGAACTGCGCCACTGGGACCCTCGGTGGGGCTCCCTATATGGGGCCACGAAACGCTGTACTGGGTGGGGGAGACGCATGCGAACTGCGCCACTGGAACCTTCGGTGGCGCTCCCTATAAGGCCACGAAGCGCCGTACTGGGTGGGGGAGACGCATGCGAACTGCGCCACGGGGACCTTCGGTGGAGCTCTCTACGGGGCCACGAAGCGTGTAAGGGGTGTGCCGAAGCTGATGGCGATCATTGTGACGATGACGGAGATGCTGATGACGATGGTGACTGCGACGATGACGATGATGACGGCGATGATGATGCTGAAAGTGATGACGATGATGATGATGTTGTTGATGATGATGTTGATGGTGATGATGATGCCGATGATGGAAAGAGGGAGGAGGGTGAGGAGGAAGGAGAGGAACGCGGGGCACCGTCTCTTCAAAACGAGGACCCAACACCACAGGATGGTTGCGTGACGATGACAACGAGGAGGGAAGAGGGGAGGAGGAGAGGAGGAGGAGAGGAGGAGGAGAGGACGCGGGGCGCTGCCTCTTCAAAACGAGGACCCCAAACCACAGGATGGTTGGGAAATGTGTTTCCCCCGCGGCACCCGCCGCGCAACAACGACGCCGAAAGCTACGTCTACGATTGCGTCTACGACTACGACGGCTACTCGTCATTATGCCTCAGGAACGCTCAAATGAAAAGTCTTGGCTCAGGGACTTGATCCTCAGAAACTTTCTCCTGAAAGCTCCGTCCAGGGAAGGACTGTTGAAGCTCAGGCCCCGCGCGGGCCCTCAGAAACTCCATCCTCGGAAGCTTCATCCTCAGAAACTTCATCCATAGAAAGACTACTGAAACTCGTGCTCCACAAGATCCGCAGAAACTCGCAGAAGCTCCACCCGCGATCCATGTTGCATTCATTTTACGAGTGTGCTCGAAATTCCTCTGTCGTGCAGAAAGCACTACGCCCTGGGAGACAGACCCCCCCAAAGATCATCCAGCCCACCCAACAATAGAGAGAAGAAACATCTCCGCCTCGCCGAGGAGGCTTTAGGACCCGTCCCATTCACCGCCGAAAGAAAAAGGGGGGGACCAAACCTGAGAACCCTCTGCGGTTAGCCAGCGTGGGCCACGAACAATGCGTGACTGCACCGTGGAGTCGAGAGCTGTGCGGTGCGAGCTGCGTGGCGGACGTTACGCCTCGTATGCGGGATGTGCCTCGATGCGGGAAGCTATGCCGTGCAGACTGTGCGGTGCGAGCTGCGGAGGCGGAAACTCTGCGGTGTAAGCCATGTGGCGTCTCGCGTACACCGTCCCCCCTGTCCCTTCCCGCCTGCTGGCCGCCGGCTTCGTCCCGCCGGCCCTGGCCTCCCGCTGCGCGTTCGCCGTCGTCTGCCTGCTTCTCTCGGGTCGAGCGGAAGGAGGGTTTGAGAATCAGCTCACGTAGCTGATTTTCCCGGCGCCTCCCGGCGCCAGAGGCGGCTATGTATCGAGGAATGGGCCCTTCAGTGAGGCCGAAACCAGCTGCATGCAGCAGAGTTCGTAATCCCCCCCTTTCCCCATCCCCCCCTTTCGTCCGGCCCGATTCTCGTTCCCCTTCTCTCTCCCCGTCGCCGCGCAGCACTGACTGCCGGGAGCGGGCGGCGGGCCCTCGGCCAGTGCGCACTCCGGGGGCTGCCTCCACGCTCTGGGCGCCGTGTGGCAGTCGGATGTAAACTGTGCGGTGTGAGCTGGAGGTGACAGCCGTTGGGGTGTAAGTGGTGTGAGCTCTCACGTAGCAGGGATGCGGTGCAAGCTATGCGGTGTAGCCTACCTCGTACAAGCCATGCTGTGAAAGCTATGTCGTATAAACTCAGAGCACGGGGAGCCAGCGAGGCGCCAACGAGGCGGCATGGGCGGCAGCGTGCCGCAACCTCGGCATACCCCCATACCCGCCATAGCTGAACAGACACCGCGCTCGCCCTCTCCATCCCTCCCATCCACCCCCTCCCCTCCTCACTGTCGTCCTGCCCAAACCCTCCTCCATCCTCCCGCTGCCTCCTCGAATCCCACCACAGACCGCCCTCTCCTGTGCAAAGTCGTCCCCCTCGTCACCGTCCTCCCTTCTCCATCACTTCTTTTTGTCCCTCCTCCTCTGTGCAATCTTACCCCCACGGCGGTGCCGGCAGAGACCAGGAACAGGCCCGCTCGCGCCTACGGCAAGCAACGCTGGACTCCAACATGGACGCGCCACCCGTAGGGAAACCGGAAGATACCGATACCGCGCCTCCCAGCGCAGATCTTACTTATCCGAATGCGTTGATCGGTCCAAGTTGACCCTTGCTCAGGCCGCTGGCGGACATCGACCTTGAAGGCCAACGCCAACTTCGCCGCCGCATCGATCCTGCCGCCATCGTGTGGCATTTCCCTGGGGAAAACAAGCGGTACCGATACCGCTACTCCCGGGGGGCGCGTTCTGACGGGAACTTCGATGCGAATCCAGCCGTGGCGACGAGTGCCTCAGAATTGCCCCAAAAGCGAAAACGAGGGAATGGCCGGGAATGGTAAGGGTATCGGTGCCCTTTCTCCTCTGAACCCGTTGTGATGAAAACGCCCCCTGGGGAGACCAAAAGGTACCGATACCGCTACTCCCTGGAACTCTCCCGGGGTGCGTTCTGACCAGAATTTCGAGGCGAATCCAGCGCTGGCGACGAGGGCCTCCGAGGAAGCCCGAAAATGGGAAAACGGGCGAAGGGTAGAATTATGGGTACTTTTTCATCCAATGACCTCCGCCTCCTCCGCGTCCTCCCTGGTCACCCTTCCTGCCTCCGCGGGGGCCTGGTCGAATAGAGGACCCCGACCAGCACGAGCGCGACCGTGACTAGTAAGACAAGCATGGGCACGAAGCGGGCCGCGTAGGCAGCCCACCTGCGGCTCTGCTGGATCATCCGCGCCGAATGCTGTTCCCGCGTGCTCTGTCTACGCCTGCGGCCATAAAATTTCGATTAGACGATGGGCCTGATTTCCACCACCACCACCACCATAGTTGGAGGGGGGAGGGGATCCTCCTCCTCCTCCTCCTCTTCCTCCTCCTCCTCCTCCTCCTCCTCCCTCCTCCTCCTCCCTCCTCCCTCCTCCCCTCCCTCCTCCCTCCTCCTCCTCCTCCTCCTCCTCCTCCTCCTCCTCCTCCTCCTCCTCCCTCCTCCCTCCTCCCTCCTCCCTCCTCCCTCCTCCTCCTCCTCCTCCTCCTCCTTCTCCTCCCCCTCCAACTTGTGGTGGTGGTGATGGAAAACAAACCCATCATAGAGTGTCGCGGCGGCGGCCCCAGCGACACGTATGCCCTGCGAGCTGATAAGAGTGGTGGACCAGAACCGGCGGCGCGAGAAGCTAAGCAATCATTCCCGACCGTGTCGCTCTCCGTCTCTACGCCTGTCTCTCTTTCTAGGGACCTTGACTGTCCCATCGCGCCGCTAGCCGGGTCGAATCCGCGAATGATCCACGTCGAATCTACACCGAGCCCACGTCGGATACAGGAGAAGACCACCGCTTACAGGACAGTCACGGCCTTCCAAAGTCGCAACGAAGCTTTCCGTCTCTCTCTCTCTCTCTCTCCCCCCTTATCTGGCCCTTCCTGTCTCACCCTCGCACGCATCGCCTTCGCGCACACGCACACACACACATGCTTTGTTGGAGTCGCGGCCCAGCTTGCAGCGACAGGGCGTAGCAACACGCACACAGACACAGACACAGACAGAGACACAAACACAGACAGACACACACAGTCACACACATGTTGTCGCGGACTCGGCGAAACCACAAATCGGTAGGGCTGAATAAAACTACTCGCGCGCACACGCGAACGCCAATCATTATCTACGTGCGCTGGCGTGCAAGGTACCGACCATTCGTCGGCCATGCACTCACGCTTCGAACTGGCGGCCAATACTTGTTCCACAAACAGAGGACGAATCAACCACAGGGCGAACAAACTGTTCGAACGTGTATGTCGGCAGCAAGTTTGGGATGCCGGACTGCGGACTGTAGTTTCATGGCAAGCGCGGCAAATGCACGCATCAAAGAAAACGCGTCTGTTAATGGCATAACTCCTCCCGCTTCAGCCGACCGGCTGCGCCGACCAGAGGGGGGGGCAGGAAGAGGGGGGTTAGCGCATCATTGCCCGAGGCATGTGTGGACGCGGGAAGACAAGGGAACGTCTTGAGACAAGAAAAGGGGGCCATGACACCTGGAAAATGTCAAAGACGTGATATCCACCCCCCCTTCTATCGACGGCGGGCGAGGGGGGGAAGCGAGAAGGAGCGGGCCTTCTCAGAAGGCTCGGAAGCCCCCCAGCCTTCTGACAAGGTTTCGAAGCCTGCCCCGACGACACAGAAAACCTCTCAGAATGCGCGAGGGTTTCTGAGAAGTCCAGCCGCCTTCTGAGAAGGCCTCCTCCTGCTCACTTTCCCCCTTGCTCGCCGCCTGTTCTAGTCCCCGAGCCGAGCGGCAGCAGTCTCACTCCCTTACTGTTCTGTATCCTCTGCCATGCGCCCAAGACAACCCAAGACAGAAGAGGGCCCAAAGAGGCTCCCGAAAAGGGGAACACCAATCGACATCTCGAGCGTTCCCCCACAAGGGGGCCCCTAAGAGGCCCCTAGAGGCGCCCAAGAAGCCCCGAAGAGGCCCCCATGAGGCTCCCAAGAGAGCCCCAAGAGCACCCCAACAGAATCCAACGGATGGCAACATCAAAGATTGGTAACGAGTGTTTTAGTGGTTTTCGGTCTCGCCGTCGTCGTCGTCGTCGTCGCCGTCCCACTTCAGGGTCGGCGTCACCGGCCGCAGGGCCTTCGCGATAGATTCGGGACTAGTGATGGTCAAGGACGTGACATCCACGCACACACACACACACACACCCATCCAGTCTCCGAGCCGAGCGCCAGCCATCTCGCTCCCCTCTTGCCCTGTATCCCCTGCCATCGCCCCCGCACTCCTCAACCCCCTCTCCTTTCCACAATCCTGCTGCTGCTGCTGCTACTTCCAACCCTCCATCCTCGTCCTTCTCGTCCTCGAGCTTGGATGGGCGTTCCGTTGCCTTTGTGTGCCCTGGCCCATTCCTCCTCTCTGCAAACTTGCCATGCACAATACACCTTCGTTTTGCCGGCAGCGTCTAAGACATTCCCGACATCAGCGGGTGGAGAAGAGGACGAGGAACACAGGCCGAGGCGGAAGAGAAGGTCTGCCCAGGATGGGGAGACAGGGGGAGGCAAGGGAAAGACGAGGTGGAGGCTGGGCCGGAGGGGAATGCGGAGGGCGAGGGTGACAATGGCAGAATGTGGCGGGCGATGCCGCACCACACACCCAGACAGGCAGCCCTCGCACGAAGGTGCGCGCCGCGCGCGGCTAAGCGACAGGCGCGCCCAGGGGGCATCGTCCGAGTGCTCCCAGGCACCCACCATGGGGCGGCTGCGTCCGACAGAGACGGGGCGGCGTCTCGCGGGAGGAGCACATGTCCGTGTCCACGGCCGCGCGGGCCGAGCCCCTGGGCTACGACCCCGTGGATACGAGGCGCTCCTTGTTCGCGGATACTCCGCGCGGAACGTATCCGTGCGTCCGCGAATTCACGGGATCGCGCCCCAGAATCCGGACCGCGATGGCGTGGATATGGATACCTTCACATTCGCCGCTCCTGAGAGGCGACCGCGTCCGACCCGGTCGGTGCGGAAACTGCAAGTGTACAACAGGAGCCTGCTCGGCCAGACGCCCTTAGCAATGTCGTGCCCACTTGGCCTTCATGGCGCGAGCACGCCTCCGTGCGTTCCAGTTCCACGGCCCCCACGCCTTCTCCGCCACGAAATCGCACAAATTAATCAATAACTCCAGATTTGCGACGTCCGTCGAGCCGCTGGCGTCTCTCATCAGACCCTGCAGCTTAGGAAGGTCGTACTCGTTGCTCACTGGACGCCCCGGCTTGCCAACAGAGATCCAGCACACCTGGTCGGGGTGCGGAGCATGTACTAGAAAACGCTCCAACGACCGCCCAGTGTCGTAGTAGACGCTCTTGAGATCACTTGCGTCGGCTAGATCCATTTGGGTAATTACGAATCTGACGTTCTCCCAGACCTGCGCCCCCTGCGGGACTGGTTTCGCAGGAAGCTTGGATCCAGTGGGGACAGCAGATCGCATAGTCTTGAAAAGACTATTGATCTGATTCACGCACGACTCTTTCATAGTTGGTCTGTACTCTGCCAATATTCTCTGGATTCGCTGCGCGCTGTCCTCTGACGTTTCACTTGGTTCGTACAAACCCAGCGACTTCAATCGCACTTTTTCCAGATAATTCAGTTCTCCTTTAAGTCCACGCAAGCTGTGGACTGGAACCAATATGAATATCAACCTGCACTGCCGAAATATGAACCTAAGCACGCTTTCGTCAAGAGTTTCAGCATGTTTTCCCACCTCGTCATCTGACCGGATTCCTCTGGTATCCAACAAAACTGTACTGATGGTGGCTGCGCCATCGCCTTCTTGATAGCTATGCCGGATATTTGTGTTGTAATGGAGATTGTCATTCGGTGGAATGTCTGTCCAATTAAGATCGTCCTTATACCGCGCTTGAGTCTCACGAGGCCCCAGATCTTCCTCCGCAGCGTGCAATTGGACACGCTCCACAAATGTCAAACTCCTGTCTATCTCCTCTTGACCAACCTTGCGAATCACATCATACCCATGCTGTCCACCTGACAGCCTGTTTATCAACTCTGATTTCCCTGCATTCTGGCGACCTATTACCGCAATGAACGTGCGGCGCGTGGGGCGTCTCCCTTCCCATTTGAAACTCGCCGCCACTGGATACATCTGTTCGAGGTCGGAATACAAATCTTCCACAGAAGAATTTATATTAACGGAAAACGACCTCGATCCAACTGTGTGCCGGCTGCGGTAGCGGCCGCAACGTACCCCACCAGCCAAATCATGTCGGAACGAAAAACCAGCAAGACCATGGAGACCCCGCCCCTCCAGGACCAACTGCCCCAACAATGAGAACCACCACCAGGCCAATTATAATGAAACGAGTTCTTGGAGTGGACCCCAAGCAGTGGGCAATTGCACTCTCGATGACCTGAATCTGTGATGCAACATGTGTACGGTGCTACCTGTGTGTGATTGTCACACACGCTGCAAACGGTACGGTACAATGTATGTGACGCAGTGTACGTTGGGCAACACATGGTCGTTCATTCCAATAACGGGGCAACCATTGCACCCACCCCTTCGCACGTTGGTGGCAAAACGCAATCAGCGTAGTGACGCGAGGAACATTATCATGCAGATCCATGTCTCAGGCGGGCCAGTGCTGATGGTGGCGCTGACGACGAGGGCGGCGACAAACACGATGACGATGGCAATGTTGATGACAATGATGTGGATGATGACGACGACGAAGGTGATAGTGACGAAGATGCTCGGTTTGATGACAACGGCAATGATAACGCTGGCAATGCAGATAACGCTGATGCTGCTGAGGATGATGAGCAAATGCGTGCGCAAAGCGCTAACGTCGATAGGCGATGTTCATATATGTTTGATCAGCTCGCGTCCATTGCACAACCAGTTGGTGTCCATGGATGTCTGAACAAATCGATGTTGGATCGCTTGGGCAACTAAATAGTTTTTGATCCATTTCGGAGTGCCCGCCGACATGCGCGCGTGTGGCCTGCATTCCATTGTTTTGAAAGGCAACCCCGATGCTTTTCGCAACATGTATTCGATATGCGCCCGAGTGTTGACATTCGAGAAAACAAAAAACTATGACGTTCTTATGATGTCATCAAATGCGCATGCGCAGGCATACGGCAACTCTCGCGTCGGAGAAACACATGTTTCGAATGGCATGTGGAAAGTGAGAGCTTGAAAGCACAGACAATCGCATGTGGCCCGCACCTGAATGCATTCCTAAACGAAAGGACGTGGCCGTCGGGACCAAACATGTAGCCGACATGGAGGCGATGGCGTGGTTCCTGAATATATGATGACGTCTCAAACGACCTTTGATACATGATAACGAATTCGAACCTTCTGGCGAACCGCTATTCGGGAAACACATGCGGAGGAGAACAGATAACGCTGGCCTCGGAAGGGGGTCTAATCTGTTGTTGTTGTTTTTTTGGGGTGGAAGGGATCTCGGGCGTGCCGCAAATGTGTTGCACTTTTGGTGCGATCTACGTGGTGCAACGTGCAACTTACGTATGTGATGCAGTCTAGAATTTGCTAGCTATGTTTTGCACGCTGCTCCCGGCGATGTATGGGACATACAGGTCCTGACACCTTTGTGTGGTGCAGACCGTGCGGCACAACCTGTATATGGCTTGCACATTCTGTGGGTACACCATCGGTGTGGGGCAAGCTGTGAACTGCGTGTGATGATCGTGCATCCGGAAGTGCCAGCCAACGCACGAAGCACCCACGGGGCGCCCATGAGCGGACATCCGGCGAACACCCGAAAACGCCAGCCAACGCACGTGGCTCCCACGAGGCGCCCGCGCGCGGGCACCAGCCGCAAATCCAGAAACGGCAGCCAACGCACGAGGCACCCTCGAGGCGCCTATTAGGCGGGCAATGCAAAAAAATCGGAAGTCCAGGCGAGCTGTTTAGTAGCGAAAGCAGAAGGGAACCCTCTCAATGCAAGCGCTGGTCGGGGAATGTTGTTGGATCTGACTGCACACGGCTGGCTGAAGTCATGCAGACGTGGACGCTGATCTCTGACCCCGCGTAGATCTTACACATCCGAATGCCGGGATTGATCCAGGTTGGCCCTTGCTCAGGCCGCTGGTGGATTGCGACCTTGAGGGAGAGCGCCAACGTTGCCGCCGCGTCGAGCTTGCAGCCATCGTGTGGGCATGTCCCTGGCCCCAGCCCAGCGAGGGCATGTTCGATGTTGCTGTCGGCTCTGGTCCCTGGAAGGGCGAACCCACCGTGGCAGCAACCCGGAGCGCCGTCGCCGAGCGTCCCCACACCATTGCGGCTGGGGCAGCGCGCAGTTCCTGCCTCGGACGCTCGTTAGCTGGGTATGGATCTCGAGCCAAGCGGACGCTGCGGAGGAGTCGAGACGGTTGGATGCTGTTTTTTGCTTCCAATCGGCGACAGCCCATTCATCCTGGAGAAGGAGGGACCGACTGATAACCTAATTTTCGCATGTTCGGGAAATTAGCATTTGGATGCGCAGGATGGGATTGCTGAAAGTAGCCGCGGAATCATGTGTACACTGACGTGCGCTCGCGCACCACATGCCTGTGAACATTAGAAGTGTGCGCCACAACCCCCTGGTACACCACAGTGTACACTCCAATGCTTGCGCATACCACGAAAGCCGCGTGCACCACAGTTCTCCCGTCTGGGGCTGGCCATGTCTGTGTACACCACATTGACTGTGAAGTGTACACTACACCACGGCGCCCTTTAGATACCACAACAGACTGTGTACATCGCAGTCCCTGTCTACGCAGCACCCCCTGTGTACACCACGGTGTCTGTGTACACTACAGACTCCGCTTGCACCATAGCGACTGTGTACACGGCCAGATGTTTTTGCACACCACCGTAGCCGCGCGCACGACAACGCATGGCGAACATTTGCGCCAAAAGGCTTCCGTGCACCCCCAATGTCCCGACGGAACCCAAATCAGGAAGATCACTGTGGGCCCGAATGTAGCAAATTCTTTATGTGAATTATGTATGATGGTTCGTGTTCCTACACTCGGGCACGGTCCCCCCCCGTTTGCGGGGGACCATGTCCGTGCACACCAAAATGCATGTATTGTGTATTTTTTTGGGGCGAAGGCGCTAGAATAGGCTGGCCTCCGGGATCCCATTCGAAAGCCAGGGTCCAATTTCCACCCCTCGTATTTCACGGCGCAGCAGCTACGCCGGGGGGGCCCGCCCGCAAGCCAGCCGGAGGCCGGCAAACCAGGCTGGCAGCCGCGGGCGCCTCTACTCGCTGGGCCGCCGCCGGTTCCTGCGGCGTCGCCGCAGCCCGCTGCGCCAGCAGCCCGCGCCGCAGTGCCTCCAGTGTCGCCAGGGCCCGGCGCGCTGGCTCCCGCGGGGCTAGTCGCGCCGGCAATGGACTCAAACGCGGCCACCAATTCGGCACCGCGGCCGCAAGGCCCGTAGCGAGGCCGCGGGGGAGGGCGGCGCCGACCAAACCTGCCTGCCCCGCGGGTCCGCCAGCGCCCTGCTCGTCCTTCGCGCCGGCCAACGCCCCCGCCAGCGCCGCTCCTCCTGCCGGCTCCACCGTGCCCCCGCGAGCGGTTAAGTCAAGGGCGGGGGACAAGCGGGCAGGGCAGGCGGGCGACGCCAGGCACGAGGAGGAAGGCGAGGACGTGGACGAGCAGGAGTCGGAACGCGCCGCCGGCGAAGGGCCCACAGGCGGATCGACGTCGGAGGCGGCGGCGTCGTCGGCGTCGCCGGCCCAAGCACCTGGCAGGAAGGCGCCGACATCCCCTCGAGCAAGCCGCGGGCCACACGCGCCGAACATGCGCGCTGCTCGGCGCCAGATCGCGGCGCCGATGGAGGAGCGGGCCCGCGCGGCGAGCGCGCGCGAGGGCGCGCCAAGTTGATGGCGCCTCCCTGCTGCGGCCGCCACGGGCCCGATCGCGGCCGACTCATCCTCGCGCGGGCGGCCCCACCGTGCCCAGATGAGCGGCCTGCAGGCGATCCCGTCGGCAGCCAACGCTGGCAGGTGCGACGCGCGCTTGCCGACCTTGCTGAACACGTAGGCGGCGGCGGCGCCCTCGCCGGCCCCGGCCGCGCGCGGCGCCGCGATGCCCGCGTCCAGCGCCGTCCGCCGGGCATAGGCAGCCGCGGTGAGCACGTCGGCTGGGCGGAGAAGCGGCGCGGCCTCGACGAGGCTCGGCGCCGCCGCCCGAGCGGCCCCGTCGGACAGGGAGACCGGCGCCAAGAGTTCGCCCCGCAGTCTATAGTGCCCGCGCGTGGACTCCTCGGGGGCGCAACACGCGGCGCGCGCCCCGTCGACGCCCCGCTCCGCGACGCGCCGGGAACGCGCGCCGAGGGCCTCGCAGACCGAGGCGCCAATGCGCGCGCGCCGCGATTAGAAACTCCTGTGGGGGAAGCGCCGGCGCCCCAGAGAGTTCCCAAAGCCAGCCCTGGTCATTGCCTGGGGCCCGGAGGTCGACTGACCTCCAAGCCGGCCGCGTCGCGCCGCCGCAGCAGCGCGTCCGCCGCGACCTCGAGACGGCGGCGGGCCACGAGGTGCGCTGCGACCCGGCGCGGCGCGAGAGCGCTCGGAATCGCCAGCCCCGGGCGGCAAAGAGGACCGCATCGGCGCTAGTCGGCAGCAAGAGCACCGAAGGGGGAGGCAGCGACACCCGCCCCGCAAATTGCGCTGCCCGCGTCAGCGCTGCCGTCGCTCCAGCCCAGAGGTGCTGGGCGGCGACCTCTGCCGTCGAGGCCGGGAGCTCTGCCCGCCGCGCCGTCAGCGCATCCACCAGGGTGGAGCCCAGTGCGCCAGCGACGCCCCGCGCCACGGCTCTGGCATAGCGCCCAGGACCTCTTCGCGCCCAGGACCTCTTCCGCCAGTCCACGCGCCCCCACGCGGCTGGCGAAGAAAGCCGGGTAGCGCAAGTCGACAGCCCGGCGGAGGCCGAGCCCCCCGCCCGCGACCGCGCGGGTAGCCCGATCCACCGCCTCGGGCGGCAGGGGCCCACCGAGGAGGCGACCCAGCGCCAGGGCTTGCTGCGCGCCGAAGGAGACCGAGCTGGCATGCAGCACCTCTTGTCCAATGGGCAATCCGACGCGCGTTAGCCGAGATGCGGAGGAAGGCGAGCTGCGCGGAGGGGTCCTCCACGAGCGCCAAGGCCTCGCAAGTGGCGTCGACCGCTGCCGTGGCCTGCGCCAACTGCGCTGGGAGCGCGGCGCCGGCTATTTCCGCGCCGAGGACCCTGCCTGCCAGCTCCCCTGGCGGCGGGCCGTCGCGCCGCCGCCGACCAGGCGCACCGCGCTTTTGAAAGTCCCATCGGGCGCCAGTCGGCTGCCACCGCGGGCGGCCAGGGCAGCGTCGAACGCATCGAGGTAGGCGGCCACATGCAGCGGTGGAAGCAGCACCTGGCCATCATCCATGCACCTGCCGCCCCGCGCCCAACCGCCAGCAGCCTCCACGGCACGAAGCCCCGCGGCCTGGCACTCCAGCAAGACGAAGCCGCAGCGCGCCGGCCCAAGTGGGTCGCCCTGCTCCGCCCCGCGGTCGCAGGCCTGCCAGCCGCCAGCTTGGAGCTGGATCCACGCCAGCTCGCTGTGGCACCGCGCTGTCCAGCTTGCTAACGACAGGGCGCGGGCGTCAAGCGCCTGGCGCACGGCCGCCTACCCAAAGGAAGGAAACGCATTCCGCAAGTCGAGATCCAGGAGGGAGACAACC